GATGTATTCGCGTTCGACTAAATGTCAAATACGATCGTACTTACTAAGTATAAGTAACAACACTGAGGTCTTTAATGAACATCTTTAGCCACATAGCCTCCATTACAACCTCACTAGCTACAATATACCTAACTTTTGTTGTGAAGTCCAGTATGGTGTCTTGCTTGGAACTCCTTCAAGTCACTTTTCCACCATTTAGTGAGAACACGAATCCCAATTGTAAACAAAAAACGTTAATAACGAAAATATAAGTCTAAAAACAGAATAAACTTACAACTCTTTTTAACCCACCATGTATCATTTTTCAAAACATGGAAAGGTTAAATCAATTGTACAAGAAAAGTGTTACAACCTTTAAAGACTTTGATTCTCATGGGAGATGGAAGTTGATGAAGTGATGCATGAAGCTCCAAAGAAGAAGCTCGCTACAAGTATCCACCAAGCGAGATTTAACCACCAAAAATGCTTGTATTCGCTTATATATAAGTGGTTCATAAGCCTTAAGAGATATAGTAAATAAGTCTTAAGGATAACCAACTTATGAACCTTCAAATCTAGCACCAAATTGCAAGAAAGAAGATAGAGAGAAAGAGAGCTTGCAAATCTCAAAAATGGCAGCCCATTTTTAGAGAGAAAAAGTGTTTAAAACTAGATAGTTTTCTCACTAACACTTTTTATATAGTTCCTTACATGTACTAAAGCACCATACTTTCAACAAGTGAAAGCATGGACTAAAAGGACAAGTACGAGTTAAAAGAAGGAATGCGTGCACTCAATCTCAAACCGCTTATGAAGTTCAGGTTTTGACACAAAAGTCAAAACCTAAGAGTGTGTTACACTTCTTCTTACAAACTAGGTAGTTACATATGATGATATGAACTAAATGATTATTCAAAGTTCCCAAAAAGTTGTACATAACACACGCACACACACACAATATATATATATATATATATATATATATATATATATATATATATTCATGCCTTATGAATATAACTACTTTTGATCTCTTTTATTATCATTTCTTAGAAATATTATTTTCATAAAATAATAATTCTCCAGTTAAATACAAGTGTTGATTATATTTATTAATAATAAAATTACTTAATAAATAATCAATTAGTAGTAACTTGCTAAAATGTATGACCCTATAAGATCATATGTCATTAGCAAATATCATTCTATAATGACTATTGGTCATAAATATCTTTCAGTACCATCAATTCTTGTAACAACATCGAGGTCTCTGATGAACCTCTTTAGCCATTTAGTCTCCATTACAGCCTTACTAGCTACACTATACTTAACTTTTTGTTGTGAAGTCTGCTATGGTGTCTTGCTTGGAACTCCTTCAAGTCACTTCTCTACCATTTAGGAAGAACACGAATCCCAAATGTAAACAAAAACCGTTTCTATCAGTTTGTAAGCAACATCAGTATAACTCTTTAGACTGAGCTCTTCCATAAAACAAGAACATATCATTTGTCCTTTTTAGGTACTGAAAAATTGTTCTTCGCAAAAATACAATGATTTCACCAGGATTATCCTGATAATGGCTTGTCATGCGTAAAGCACATGAGACATCATGACTTGTACATATCACGTTATACACATGATCGATCCCACAACAAAGCATTTTGAACTTGACTCATTTGTTTAGCTCATCACTGAAACAAGGATAATTGGCCATGCTTAGTGTCATACTATGTTGTATAGGCTCATATCCTTTCTTAGAGTCTTGCATCTTGAATTTCTTCAAGACTTTATCTATGTATGTACTCTGGCTAAACTCATCACCTAGATCTACATTTATAGATCTTTATACCTAGTATGTATGTTGCTTCTCCCAAGTCTTTCATAGAGAAATAATTTCCAAGACAAGTTTTTACACTTTGAAAAGATGGGACATCATTTTCTATGAGTAGTATGTCATCGACACATAGCACGAGGAAAACAACAACACTCTTACTAGCTCTAACATATACATATGGCTTATCTTCGCTAAAACCAACTAAATAATATATAATTATTTCTATGGTTTACATGCTTAAACCATCTAAATAATGCATGCATTTTTTTATTTTCCTATGATTTTATATGACTTTTATAAGCAACAACAACAAGTTGTCTAGGGGAGAAATTGCATTGTTAGCCCCTTTTAAGATCATAATAAGTTTATAAGGTCCAAAATCGAAAAATGGAAGACTCTCGTATCTTTCTATTAGCACTGATCTCGCATTTAAACGACTTTTCTAGAATTTATTATGATTTTTAGAAAACATGGACATAATGTTGAATTTTTGTATGTATGAATTAATACCCGATAAAAACTCTTTATGACCAAATCAGTTATAATGTGTTAAAACCCTAGAATATTGGTTTTGATACCACTGTTGGGTTATGATGATCTATAGAGCACAAATCAATGAAAACATAACATACAAAAAATGATCATCATGACTCACCGGATCTTATTCTAGTGGTTTTTTTAGCAACAATAATAACTAAGAAGACATAGATTGAATCATACATTGTTGATGAACTAGTATAACCGAATTTCTTTTTCTCTTAGAAGATTTAGAACCTAAATGATAACTCATCTGTTAAGAAAGCACCCAAGAACAATGATTCAACATCTTCACAATTCTCCTTCTTCACTTGGATCAAAACTATGAGCTAGTAGAAGAAAAAAAGGAGACAGTCAATCATGTGAGGGGGAAGGGGTGTTAGGGTGGAAAAATCCTAATTATCTTTGATTAAATCTTAGTATTTATCTTTTAATCAAAAAGATAAATATTTACCAATTCAAATACAAGATAATTACATTTAGATCATTTTATTTACTTTAGTTTCCAACTCACCATAATCACCATAAGGTGACATGTTAATAAACTAATCTCTCTATTTTTTTCTTTTGTTGTTTTATGGTCAAATCATATTTTGTGTGTAACTCAAAAGAATTTTGCTAATTATAAAAAGTCACTATCTTGTTGTGACCATGAATATATTTCCAACGACATTGATTTTGCGTCGACGTTCAACCCTAATCTATCCATGGTCATATGTTTCCTTTACAACCAATTTGTAGTCGACACTCTCCATTCAGTCCATTGATCCATGTCTTTTATATAACTGTTTGCGCTTAATACATTGCATAGACCGGTTATATTTTCAATGATGTCATATTCTTTATACAAATATGTTGTATAGATTACAAAAAGGATGAAACATTGTTACATTAATAATTCACAAGCTTCTATTTTTTGTTAACCACTATTAATCATTATATTTTTGTTATACTTTTATGCACGAGTGATTATCAATTAAATTATAAACAACGTACATCATGCTACTGATTCGATTATGTGTATGTTATTTCTTAACGGGTATATATTTTTATATTTTTGAGGATATATGTAACTACAAGTTTTACAACTATCTGTAAAACAATATCAATTCGATAAGATTTTATTGATTATCCAAATCATCTACGAAAATATTTGTAAGACTTATTTCTAATAGGATATTCTCAAATAAAAACCATATATTTCGTAATATTTTTTCTAAATAAAATAAAAAAATAATAATAATAATAACGAAGGGTAACAATGGAAATACATAAAAAGTTGGTACAGGAACAAAGAGGTAACTCAGACTCTCAGAGGCATTTAAATGATCGTTCAGAATTCATATACCTCAATCTCTCTCTCAACGAATCTGTAACAAACCCCGAATTTTCATATCCTACGGTCAAAATAAACCCGCACTCCAAATCTAAACGGTGGAGATCACACCACACGCTCACACACACACACACTCATTTATGCACTCATCATACATACATACACATATATACATGCTCTCATGGCGTCGTCGTTATCGTCTTGATAGTTTTCTCTTTCTTCAAAAATTCTTCTGCGTGTTGTTGTGTGTATGTGTGTTTGTTTTTGTCTAGAGTTTAATCTCTTTGAAGAATATTTTTCCATTTTGTTTGGGATCTTGAATGTTTTGAAGATCGGATCAAGTGTTATTTGAAGTTGAATCTAGCTAGCTCCTTGTATCTCTCTCTACCAGGTACATAGAATTCGGCATTTTTGACTGATAAATTAATCGAGGTTTTCGTTATCGACGATTCTTCTTTTTCTTCTGCAGGTGATAAGGAATTTGATTTTTTTGGAAGAGAAAAGAAGAATCAGAGTGATATAAGGAGGTTTTTTCAATGAAATCAAATCGTAAATAGAGGTGATGAGAGTTTTTCAATTATCATACAACTAATTGTTTGAATAAATTCGATTCCATTTTTGTAGCAGTTTCTGATTTTTTTTCTGACTTTTGTTTGATTGATGATCTAGTAAATCATAGTTTAAAAAAATCGGATCTAGAAAAATATTTGTTTACCAGCAGTTTCTTGCATTAGAAGTCGATTCACTGTCGCTTGAAGACGCGTCATAATATGAAACTCGTTTTCTGTTCTATTTCATGTTCTTCTTCGTCTTCTCTCGATTCTCACTTCTCAGTTTCTTTCTCATGGTGTGTACGCATCGATCGATGGTTTTCTTATATCAGAATTAACAAAATATTATAATTTCGTCGTCTTCTACAAAGGTCGCTTTACTTTACTTATTTGAATCTATTTTTTTCTGACTTCATTCATATTTACAAATAAATAATAATCTCCATATCAATCTCTTAATTTGACTTGCGTTTGTCGGTTTCGATGCAATAAAAGGAAATCTTTAATGGCCACCACCTTCTCCATAATCGGTAAACGAACCCTCGCTGAATGCCACATTTTTAATTCATTGAACGCATCCGTAGATTCTTATGTACGTTTGTTATTTATTATAATTAATCAATCAATATATTCTTCGTCAACATGATCTCATTGATTCCATTACATAATCATTTCCTAATTCGTATCATCGATTTCAAATTTCAGGAACGTAATGTGAAATGTTTTGATCAAGAGCAATCGAAACTGAAATCAATCGATCAAAATGTCATCCTCAAATTCTCCTTGCGCTGCGTGTAAATTCTTACGTCGGAAATGCACTCAAGAATGCGTGTTTGCCCCGTATTTCCCGCCGGATCAGCCTGTGAAATTCGCGAATGTACACAAAGTCTTCGGAGCAAGCAATGTCGCTAAAATCCTCAACGAGCTCAACGCTAGCCAAAGAGAAGACGCCGTGAATTCATTAGCATATGAGGCGGAGGCGCGTCTCCGGGATCCTGTTTACGGTTGCGTCGGATTAATCTCCATCCTCCAGACACGATTGAAACAAGTCCAGACCGATTTACTAATCGCGAAACAGGAATTGTGTACTTATATCGGTGGTCAGTCTCCGGCGATGCTGCCGTGTTTAAACCCAGGGTTTATACAACAATATCAGAATATGCTACCGTCGCCGGCGACGGTGGCGGCGATGGGGTCGGGAGGACCTGGTATGCATCCTAACCTTCAGCAGATGTTGACGCTTCAAGGTCCAGGAAATCTCCGAGATGCTCATCATCAACAACAACAATTATATGAAGCTCATCAACGTCAAATGGTTGAAGCTGCTGCTAGAGAACAGGAGATGTTAAGAAATTTAGAGCATCAACAACGTGTACAACAACAACAATTACAACAGCAACATCAATCGGCGGATTTGATGAGGTTTAACTCCGGTTTTGATGCCGCCGGACCTTCCGGACAACCGCCGGTGAATCCGAACGGGTATAACCAGTTGACCGGTCCGGCAACCATGTCTCCGTCGTTAGCTCTCGGGGGCGCTTATGACAATAACATGTATCAGATCCAGCAACAGCACCACCGGCAGCCGCAGCCGGAGCATGAACAGCATCATCAACTACAGCACCAGAACCACCAACAACCACCGCATGAACACCATCAACAACTACAGCTCCTCCCTCATCACGTCATGCTTCAACAGCAACCTCAGCCACAGTCACAGCCACCGCAGCAACCAGCGGCGCAACCACATCATGGAGACGGGAGCGAGGAGGGTGGTCCGTCGTGCTGACGTGGAAAATCAGATATTTTTTCATTCAATAGTACGCCAGCAATCATTCTTGTTCTCTCACACGTAAGCTTTTTTCTTTCTTGTTTTTGATATTCATAAATGCATAATAACATACTTACACATTTTTAGCCATGCATATAGTTCTTGAATCGAAGATCTTTTTCTGAACGATAGTTTTGAAGGAATTATTGTCTTTTCACTGCCTTTTGATGCTATTTGAGTTCATTTTTGGGGATTTGGGAATCGAAAGAAGTACTGAAAACCTTCTGTAAACACGTAAAAAATGAAAGATAGTTTTCACTTTTCAATCAGTTAAAAGTCAATGTACTCAGATAAAATTTTGGCTTTTTCGTAATTATATCATCATTTTTAATGTATAAATTATGTGTTTATATGCAGGGGATTATAAACGTACAAAGTCAAAGGAGAGGGTTTGACCGAGATAGTATTTTTTTTTTTTCTGCAATTTAGTATTTTAGGTGATTTGGACATAAAGATTTTGACTGCATCATGGGGATTTTAAAAGGGTAGCGTATTGAGTAGAAATTCTGAATACATTTTTTTTTTTTAGAATGACTCTTTGAGTCTTTGCTTTGGTTTCAACAATTCAACAATTAATTCTAGGGTTTCTGATTTCCTTCGAATATACACAAAGGAGTGAGGGGCTCAACTTGTTCATGTTAGTTTAAAAAATGGAAATTTTATTGGTTATATAAAATGATGTTAATATATTAAACAATTCATAACTAAACAGCCGACATCTTTCATTTTTTTTTTAATAAAGTTTGATGAATAGTTGTTTCTCTTGTATTTATATGCTAGTATAAATACGCAATAAATATTAACAGTGATACAATTGTATTTTTATGGTATATTTTATCTTTTTATTGGCTTTCGACCTACAAAATGTGAAATGGAGACATAAATGGCGACTTTTATTGGTATTTAGTTAAAAGTGATTTTTTTTTTTTGGAAAGAATGATATCGACATTCAAAATCAATATTAATATAAGATAAATATCTGAAAAAAAGCAATTAAAATTGAAAAAAGAAATTGTTTTAACCTTCAAAATGATTAAATTTAATTAACTATAATCAATTCGTTGAAAAATATATATAGCAAAGTATCACGTATACGTCTATCTTTAACACTCAAATCACACAAAGCAGTGAAAACTGAAAACAATAAGTAATTAGGAATGTAAAGATAATATAATTTGCATGGTTAGTGAGTAGTGACTGATCAGTGTATTTGCTCTTTTCTTCTTGTTGCTTAGCTTAGAAAAATCTTTAATTAATATGTAAGTTAGAAACTTTATAATTTTCAGCATGGATAAAAAGAGTAGTATGCTTAATATACTTAATAAGGGGTGTTTGGAATTGCTTTGTTAACTTATTGCTGTTCAGTAGTGCTAATAATTATTTTTAAATGTTTGGATGAATTAAATTTAAAAATGTTTATTGACTTAAATAAGTTGTTTGTAATAAGTTGGGTCCTTCTAACTGCTGATTAGGAATAAAACCAATTTAGTATTTTATTCCAATTTACCTTAAAAATTCCTATATATCACAACTTTGTTTTTCTTTTTAATAGTTTAAAAGTAATGGTTTGAACATTTTATGTATTTGCGTCAATTAAAACATATAATGACTTATAATTAATGAGTCCTGAAATAGGCTTTAAAAAATAAAATAGAAAATTGAGTAATCTAACCATTTTTTAATATTTATTTGATAAAAATAATAAATAAAAATTTAGCAAAAATAACCATTTGGTTCACAACAGGCGTTTCAGAACAAGAAAAAACACGTTTTTTTATTGATTCCAAAACTACATTCTGGATTTCGGACTAAAATTTTGGATTAAAAAAAAACTTCAAAATTTCAAGAACAAAATGGGGGAAAAACCAAAAATAAATCTAAAATGTGTTTGCCCCTTTAACATCCCTACCTGAATGTCAATAGCAGGTTGGGAGAAAATTATTACTTTTTAGAAACCGAAAAAAAAAATGATTATTTCCCCAAAAAAAATCTTCCATTTTCTTTGTTTATAAACACACTTTTTTTTCCAAGAAAAAAAAATTGATTATACTTTCATATTGAAAATTGATCATAAATACTATGAAATTGTTTTTAACATAAATTAGTAACAACTTTCTAAAAGCACCAAGATAACAAGAAAATCAATAATTGATGTAACCTTTTATAAAATATTTCTTAATATATTATTTAAGGGTATTTTTTAAGACTAATGATGTAACCTTTTATAAAATATTTTTTAGTATATTATTAATGGGTATTTTTTAAGACTATTGATGTAACTTTTTAATAAATGTATTATTATTTGAGATTGTAGATTTTATCTTATAATAAAATATGTTATATAAATAAATTTTTTTTTCGAAAGAGAATTATATAAATAATTGTTTTAGTTATAACAAATGCTTTTTTAATCTTATTGATACGGATTTTGTCAAAATTATTATTTTAAAGTGAAAAAAAATGAGTATATGTCAAAAAAAACCAAATAAGTCAATAGTATATAAGGAAACTATTTTCAGTCATTTTTTACATATAAAATGAATTTATCAAACACTAAAAATCAACTTATCAGGTTAATTATTGTGATTTAGTACTTGTTAATTCAAACAAATTTTCATAAACTCTGTTTTGATATGTTATAAACTAATGCAACTTAAAAAAGAAAAAAAAAAAAAAAAAAAAAACATATAAGCCTTTCAAATAAGTAATGCCAAACACCCCGTATGCATCATATTTTAGCGTGTTAACGATACATATCTATTAGCTTTGCACTTGAATAATATAAACAGGCTAGCTTGGAATACGCATACCACTCTTAACTTCTCATCGTGGCATCATAAACGTTCTAGATTTGCATCCTATAAAAATTTCCAGTAGTTTTGACATCTTAACAAATTATACACCGACACACATTCTACCTTAACTTTTTAGCAAAGTATACATAGTAGCTTGATATCTTACCAACATATTCCTTCATATTAAAATATTGTTTCATCTTTTAAACATCGGCATATAGGGTCGTTCCAATGTGATCTGAGGCGCGGGGCAAAAACAAAAAAATAGGCCACTCGAAATTTAGTAATCGCAAACAATAATAGAATGATGCTATGTAGACAAATACATGAGCACTTGTTATTAAATTAAATATATATAGTGTGAGTGGGTTAAAAGGACACGAGTTAAATGTTAAAAACAATAAACCACTAGTTTAGTACAAAAAAACGAATGACAAAGCAAATAAATAAATAAAAACGAACTAGCGAACCATTTTGAAAAACCGTCACTTTGGTGTCTGGTCAAACAAACAAAAAGATGAGTATATGGAAAAAAAATCATATTTGGTGAAAACTCTAAAAAAACTTAAAAAATAACTTGTCTAACTGATAGGTTAGCATATTTTTTATTAACAAACATACAAATAATAGTTATTATATATATATATATATATATATATATATATATATATATATATATATATATATATATATATATAAAAGGAAGTTAGCAATAGTAACTTTTATGTCTTTAGGTTTTTGTCACAAATGTTTAGTAAATTTGACACTTTTAATCCTTAAAATCAAAAATTTTACATTTTTGTGTTTTGATTAAGTTTTTATGCTTTTAGGGTTTTGCCACAAATCTTTAGTAACTTTGACACATTTTTTCCTTGTAGTGAAAAGTTTTATATTTTGGTGTTTTTGCCACAAATCTTTAATGAATTTGACACTTTTCATCCTTGTAGTCAAAACTTTTACATTTTGACATAAAAAACACAAAAAACCTTCTTTAGAATTTTGCCACCATATTTTCCCAACTTTGGCAACTTTCACATTATTGCCATAACATTTTTGGATTTTCTCCATTCTTTTGGTTGTTGTACACTTTTGACATCTAATTTTAGGGGTTGTCGACTTTCTCTCCTATTTGTGGTGATTTACACTTTCAGCACATATTTTTTAAAGTTTGTCGATTTCCCCCATATTACCCCAAAAACGACGTAGCCGCGAGTTCTTTACTAGTTATATATTAAACAACGATGCAAGGTAGAAAATCTCATATATAAACTGAAAAATTATGTTTGATAATGGCTAGAAAAACACCAAAATTTTAAATGAAATAAATGTTTGGGTAGTTTGTCAAAGAAAAAAAATAGAGACACCATATTTTTTTCCATACACTCATTTTTTTTCCATACACTCATCTTTTGTTTGTTTGACCGATCATCCACCTATTAGACCTTTCTCGATTTGCTAAAGTTTTCTAATTTGACAAAACTAACCGCTTAAAGATAAAATATAACTATGAGTTATTCACTAAAATGACTTTTTTTATAAATGAAAGTGAAAGATCACTATAGAGTCATCGCACATCGGAGTAAAACGGAGCACATCGAAATGTCACACAGAATCATCAGGATGACACATGATGTTCCAAATGACGGAAGGATCGGAGAATGTGAGATTACAGAGTAGAAGTATTCGGATCTTGGAGGGCTCCGGGGATGTGTTCCCAACAAATATAAACTTTTTGTTTGATCAAAGCGTTTTCTAACATGTATGAGAAACCTTTTGTAGCCAACAAGGTTTACTTGATTTGATAGCTTATGAATACAAAGATAAAGGAAGGAGGATTTGTGATACATCATATCAATGAGTTCAATTCAATAATATCAATATTGATATATGTTAATATTGGTTCTGATGATGAAGTCCAGACACTCTTGTTATTATCTTCTTTATTGGAAAGTTTGTCTGAAACCATTATAGTTGTAAGCAATTCATCTGAAATCTCAAAAATTACAATTGAAGGCATTCAAGATGTAATCCTTGGGGAAGACATCCAAAGGAGGAATACATTGGAGTGTTCTAGAAGTATGTTGTGTATCGAAGAAAAGGGAAGGAAATCGAACATGAGAGGAAATAGCAGAGGAAGGTCGAAGTCAATGAGGAGAGGGCAATCAAAAATAGAAAGGATATTGTCCGCTGGAACTGCAAAGAAAATGATCATTTCTAGAATCAGTGTCCAAATCCTTCTATAGAAAATGATTGGTTTTTATAATTCAGTTTTCAAAAACCAAAACATCTTCAAGCACAACCTCAACTCGTCGAGTTGGGGTCCTCCAACTCGTCGAGTAGGTTTCAAAATCTGTGCGGCTTTATTAGTTTCTACATGACGAGTTAGGGCCTCCAACTCGTCGAGTAGGTCTTATGTGATGTACAAAAAATCTTAAAATTTCATACCTGGGAGTCGGGATGTTACAATTCTCCCCCATTTGAACTAGATTTCGTCCTCGAAGTGTGCTGCGGTGAACAACTCCGGATAATGCTCCCGTATCTCGACCTCCGGCTCCCAAGTCCACTCAGATCCTTTCTGATGCTGCCACTGTACCTTTACCAAAGGTACTTCCTTGTTGCTCAAGACCTTCACCTTCCTCTCCAATATATCTATGGGTCTCTCTACATAGTTCAGGCGCTCGTCCACCTGAATGTCATCCAATGACACAATCGCATC